TTGCAGGCTGAACCTCCATTTTAGTGGGGTTGTACTGTTGAAGTAGTGCCGCACCGAAGTCGTTTATATTATGGGGAAGTGTTGTCGGGTTTATCGTGCGGCGCCAACTTTTTCTTTTGTGTAAATTTCGGGAGGTGCAACCAAGGTGACTGACACGATGGCGGCGGTACTTTCAATGGGGTCATGCTGCAAAATTTTGAGCACGTTGGCGACTTTATTTTTTAGGGAAAGTGTTGCCGAAAATGTGCGGTGCATTGGACCCTTCTTGGTTGGGCACGATCGGGTGGTGGTGTTGAGCAACCGTGATATTGGTTTTTGATGGCGTGGCGGGCGATGATCCTGCCGTTATTTTTTTGTGAAGTGATGTGTGGCGACCATGATACGGTTCAACGTGATCCAAAGACAGTATAGGTGCTAATGCACGTTTTGATCCCGCTTCAGAGTGCCGATCTTGTGAAAGCGTGCGGAATTATTTTTATTACTACAGTTCAACGTGTGTCGTCGACATCTGAGACAAGTGGAATGATAGGCGCCGCTTTTTGAAGGCACCATGAGGTCATTCAGGACCATGTGGAGTGTTTGGACCCGCGAGAGTACTCAGAGTGTGCTCGCACGATGCGTAGTAGTCATTAGGGTTCGCGACACATGCGGTTTTCACGGGGGGTCACCTTCATTTTTTTGTAATGCATGGTGCGAGCGGTGTTGGTGTTTGGGGCCATCCGGTGTTACGGGCCATGGTGTGGGACCGCTTGAGACCACTTGAGACCACATGAGACTTAGTTTTGGGACGACCTCCTAAAAAGTTGTCTTATTAAAGTTTCCTTCAGTGGACACAACCGTCGGGTTATTTGGGTGATTTGAAAAAACTATGGTTATTACTTGGCGAAAATACCATAACTTTGAATTGTGGACCTTGCATTTGAAATTAGATGACGGATTTTTTTATTTGATTTAAAATATTCATTGATTTTTTTTAACGAGCTGGATTAAACTTCACTCAAAGTCATGTGATTGACTCAAATTTCCCTTTACACTCGTGTGACCCCATACTTTGCTTTACCATGTTTATTTTGAATATTCAAAAGGAAAAGGTAGGGTAAAAGTTGTGTGAGTCATGCATGTGAATGGTGAGGTCAGACTTTGGGTATGAGAATTTTTTCGTTGGTTTTTCCTAATTTGTTTGCTTCGGTTTGGTGTGCAAATAGATAGAAGGATGCTTGCAAAAGATTTATATCTATTTGAAACAGATAATTTTTTTTTTTTTTTTTTTCTACCCCTCACATGCCTGCATGTCCTTATGGCTTGTTGTTTAAAAAAACGTTACATTTGTGCGCATCATAAAAGAAATTAGATTCAAATAAAACAGATAAAGTCAAACGGACTTAGTCTTTTTCCGATAAATATTTTTTTTATCCAGAAGGACCTCATCTTCCTATACCTGTCCAAATGGTTCTTATTCTCCAACTCCTCTAACTTTCTTCGTTCAAGTTACCTTGAGCTTAGGAAATATGTGAAACAATAAAAATCTACTTGCGCTGGACACATTCTCTCTCTAGCAAGCATCTGGGTGGGGTTCATTGCTCTAGGAGCCGACCTTGTTATCGACCCAGAGTGGATCGTTCTACAGGGGGGGTACTCTGTCGATTCGGTGGAGACAGCCCGACTTCTAAGTTCCAAGCTTTCTGCTCGGGCGAGGAGGAGTACCCCTGACCACTTTCTAGAGGATGAAACATGCAAGACTTCAAGTAATGCACATAGTCAAGAATCATCCGCAAAACAGTTTGTCATCTAAAAAGATTAAAAACATATGGAGACAAGTTCGCGCGTCTAATCTTAGATCGCTAGTAGAGTGAAATGAAAGACTTTGGCAACACATCTCATCAAGTCAAAACTGAGAGAGACCGACTACCTTATCGGCTGCATTGACGTTATTGTCGTAGTCAACTCCTCGCTGACGATTCAGTGTAATACTTTACTTATTCAATTCGACCTGAAATGGCTGGTTTCTATTTTGTGTTATTGACTTTATTATCTGATGTTTGTGTGTTTTGTTGGTTTCAACTTATGTTGAATTTATATTATTGACATTTTTATCGACTACGATTGTTTTGTCTTTTGATGAAATTATATTTTATCATGGTAATTTTTTCCTTTTGAGTTGTATGTCTAAGAAACTGGGATCGAGTTGTGGGTTTCTCGCTTGGTTGAGACCGTCATAGTCGACCGGCGTCCGCTTCGTACTTAGGAGATCCTCGCTCTAGGGAATTTGGTAAATAATTACGACGTAACCCTAAGGCAAAAGTTGTTCATTTTTGTTTTTACCTAACAATTTTTTTCTATTATTTTTTTTTGCTCTCACCTTCCCTAGTCCCTACACGGTCGGGCCGCCAAAAAAAATAGGTTGGCCCGACTGATAGCCTAACAATAGTCATGATATTCTTTATGTTATTTGTATTATAAATATGTTACGTTATTCACCTTTACGAACAACCTCCCACCAAAGGTAATGACAAATACAAGAGCACATCTGGCTGCTCAACATACTTTCTGTGGTCGGTAGGGACATTGTTGTATATATTAAACTAATATACTAAGGCAATAAATATTAAGCGCCCAATCACATTGGGATTGGGAAGGAGAGCGAGGTGCCAATCATAAGCGAACTGGGATCAGCAGAACGCGAACACAAGCATATTGAGAGAAACAAAATGCCGACATGTGAAAACTCGAAAAAACTCAAAAGAGATACTAAAAAAAACAGAGTGACGTACAAGAGTACCACCATAGCCTTGGCTATGGTATCCTACCGCCCGCTATAGACGATAGTCTGGCTGCCCTCAACCGGTTTCGGCTGGAGCCAAGGCCAGCCTCATCAGGAGGGAGAGTAATTCCGAGGTGAAAGGTTAAAACTACATAATGGATAAATACTAACATGAAACTACCTTTGCCTTTGCAAGATTAGCACGGCAGAAAGCAGGTACGCGCAGGTACGGGAGTTTCCTTCCTAAATCTTCCCCAAGCATCCGTACTAACACGTTTCCAGATCTGATATCCTTAGAGCTCGAAAATCCGACGAATCGGTTTGTCGTATTCGAAATCCAATCGATCGAAGCCCCGAGGGTCTATGAAAAACTCCAGAAGCAAAGTCGGTTCCCTTTATTTCTAAGTCCTCGTAGTAACTTTCTTACTAACACGTTCGAAATCCGATATCTCCTCGAATCCAACGAAAGCAGTTCGTCGTATTAGAAAACCCGAAAGTCACCGTAGGAGCCCAGATAAATCCTAAGTCGAAACAGACAATCTGTAGGCGAAATACAGGTACAAAGTCCATTTGGTATGTTTCGAAGAAATTCGTCCCAAAGTAACGCCCAGTAATCTGCTCGAATCGGCGTTTTGTCTTGTAGTTTCCCAGGAAAATCAGCAGAAACGCGTTAAATCTTAGAGGAACGCGTGGAGATAATTTCAGATATCTTAAGTTGTTTAATACGAAAAGACGTGTCCTACCATCCGCATAATTTGTTCCCCCACTCTTTCCAGGACGGTGCTCATTTCCGAAATGAATTTGATTAGGCAGTTGTCAAAATACTTCCCAGGGTAGTTTTGTCGTCTCAGTAGCCTTTTTAGGGTAAGTAATGTCAGCTCAACCTCCGAGGTCATCTGGTAAATCCTATGCAAGCAACATGTAATTACCACCTTTTTCTGTGAGATAGCCGAATAAGAGTTAAAATCCTGGATCGTTTTGAAAGAGGGTGCCTTCCGCCCAGATTTCCTCTAGATTACGCTGGACGAGCTGGGTCGTCCCTACCGAAATCAATGTATGGAAGGGAGAGAAAGAGCGAATGCGAGTGAGGAGAGGGTGGTTTGGCAGTATGGTTTCAACCATGAGGGGATGTAACCATTTACAACCATAATAATAAAGTTATTTGTCTAATTTATATTTCTATGATAAAAATGTAATGTTCTCCACCTTGACAAACAACATACCGCCAATATAATAGCAAATACAGAAGCACACCTAGAACGTGCACAACGGAGTAATTGTGGTCATTAGGCACGTACAATTTCACATAGAAGCGATATACGTAGGCAAAATAAATATGCACCTACCGACATGTCCAACATAAGTTAATTGAAGAAGGGAGGGGACAATATGGAAGGAACCAGGAAGAGAACTGATGATTAATAATTATAATCAACAAATCCTTATCTCACTTATATTTATATCATAAAAAATGTAACATTCTTCACCTTCAAGGAGGGGATGTGACAGTTAGCAGTTATAATTATGAAATCTTATACATCATAAAAACATCATGTTTTTCAACTTATTGTTAAGTTATTAATAACATCTCGCAAAACGTAATAGCACATACACAAACATACCTACGTGCACTCGTATTGGACACAGGTTGGTAGGCAGGTATTATTACATAAAATCAATATACTTAGGAAAAATGTTTTACACACCTACCAACTTGTCCCACATTTTCAAAGTCACCTACCCATCTTCGTCACCCCTCCTACTCATCTTCGTCAGCCCTCCTCCACCTCCTCCCACTACTCGTCTTCAACTTCCTCTCGCTTGTCTTTGTCACCTCTCTCTCCCTGGACTCTTCACCTCATCTCTCGTTCGTCACCCTCCATTTTCTCTCGGCTTTGTTTTTTTTTTCCATAAAACTTCATCATCAGGACAGGCATCCGAACATGTCCGTATTTTTCAGAATTTTCCTAAGCTCTCAAAGTGGCCCGGGACCACTTGCCCGTCCGGGCCACCCAGGAAAACAGGGTGACCCGGGCGGCCCGGCTGGTAGCCTAGGGATTTTCCAATTTTCAGGTCATCCAGACATCTGCTGTCCGGATCTGGTCATCTGTCCGGTCCAGCGTACCTATGTTCTTTTTTAAATGTCTTTCCCCGTTAGTCATGTACTTTGTCCCACAGAGGGCATCGAGTGTTGTCTTCCACCACGGATTGAGAGAAAGTGTGGGCATGCTGCCACTGGCTGTGGAGCAGTACTTTATTCATGTGGAGTAAGAATACCATTGTCATTAGCCCTCCAAGAGATGTATTGATCTGCCAGCAGTTGAGATCCTGAAGCATTGTGCTCTGCTATGGAAAAGCAAAAGAAAAAGAAGAATTCCAGTTTGGTGTCCTTTGGGACATCTGTTAAAATTGGAACGATACACAGAAGATTAGCGTTGCCCCTGCACAATGATGACAGACATACGTCGAGAAATGATCCAAATGAAAAAGAGAAAAAAAATTCCTGTTTGAACAATGAACTAATGCAATTGCAAATCATACATAAACATAATAGACGAACACTAAGAATGGTCAAATAAATTGAAGAAATTGATTGGTTCTGCGCCTTTAGTGTGTGATATGTAACACTAACATCACACGGGGAACACCCCCATTGGGAGGTTGTGCACAAAAGCTCAGCTAAATAGACAGCGGATACACTGAGTGCAATCATTGAAAAACTGAGCTGCCCAACATGCCCTTCATTTCCAATACACAGGCACAAACTTGGGGTCCGCTGTGATGTTGAACCAACCCATAACCATGACTGTGTCCAGCGTTTCTATCAGAAAAGAATCAGAAGTTGGTTGTCATGCCATCAGGCTGAGAGTTTACCTGAGCCATGAACTACCAAACACTTCTGCACAAGGATGCAGATGCGAACGGTTGCAAAACCACTGCACAACCGCCATTGGTAGAAGAGGCTGCTGATCCCACAGTCTTCCATCCCTCTCTTCCCAGTGCAAGAAGAGCTCTCACAGAGGGGAACCAAGTTGCCGAAGCTCCGCGGTGGACAACCGACCAACCGACCAAACACTCAATCAAGGCTCTCGTAAACGCTGCAACACTGCCTGCCTCAAGTATCTACATATGCCTGACTCAAGTGCTACATAGGGTATCTCAGCAATGAACCCTATGACAAGCACACCAGATTCCGCAAGGGAGGACGAAGCATTCAGCAAGGATACAGGACTTCATGGCAGGCTGCTTAGAACTTAACCAAGGAGAAAAAACGACAGCCTGCCTCCTTTACGCATCAAGGAAGTTTGCGGCCATCAGCAACTCCAATGCTATATCAGGCTCAATTTTGAATTCTGGAATGTTGTTCACACTGCAAAACAAAACAAAAGGGACAAAAACACCAGCCACACAAATTAGATGCAAGCCATCCCGAGATTCTGACAGGAAGAGCATGCACCTACTTCCTTTCTCATGCCAGATTCTGACAGGAACAGCATGCGAACCCATGACATCAGCCAAGCCATGGTTACACAGGATCGTCTGTCCAGACAGGCCACACCAGTGAAATCCGGACTATCCACTCGAGTGGCCTTTCTGCCGTATTTCTCAGTAGTGTATGTACGAATTGCAGTGTTCCAGGATATAGCAGCGTATTCCCCCGTAGGTTCTGTCATACGGCCGTACGAACGGCCCTACAAACGGTCATACAGCCGTTCGTAGTAAGGCCGTACTATACTGCATAGGGTGCCGAAAAATAATAAGAAAAAAAATACTGGATTGTAGAGCACAAATAGCTCTACAACCTAGGCTACCAGCCGGGCCGCCCGGGTCCCGGGTGGCCAGCCCGTGCAAGGAGCAGGGAAGGTCCCAGCAAAAGACAAAAAATTCCAAAAAATCCAAAAAAAATCTATGTTATGCAGAAAAWKAAACTGAAAAACTTTTGCCTCAGGGTCACATCGAAATTCTTSAYCAAATTTAAAATAAAAAATAAATGGTAAAAATATTATTTTTATTTTATTTTATTTTTATTTTTTTGGCCCGGCCGGGCAGGTGACCCCGGGCCACTCTGGTAGCGTAGTCTACAACCCCATAATTTTTACTTTCTTTTAGTTTGCTCTTAGATTAAAAAAAAAGAAAAAAAGAAACATTAAAACGAGAAAAAAAAAAGAAGATTTGATTGATTGATTGATGGTCCATTGGTTGCTGATTGGTTAATTGGTTGATTGATTGATTGATTGATTGAATGAATGAACAAAAAAGCCACAGCAGTGCGAGGGAGCGGAGAAGGCAGCGGGAGCGGAAGCGGGGAGGCAGCGGGAGCGGGGGAGGCAGCAGGAGCGGGGGAGGCAGGGGGAGTGGGGGAGGCAGCGGGAGCAGCAGCGGGAGCGGCAGTGGGAGCGCGGAAGGCGGAGGGACGGGGAGCGGGGAAGGCAGAGGGGGAGGCAGCGAGAGCGGGCAGCGTGTGTGTGTGTGTGTGTGTGTGTGTGTGTGTGTGTGTGTGTGTGTGTTGATGTCTGTGTGTGTGCGTGCGTGTGTGCGTGTGTGTGCATGCGGGTGTGGGTGCATGTATGTCCTCGTGTGTGTGTGTGTGTGGTTGTGCACGTGTGTGTGTGTGTGTGTGTGTGTGTGTGTGTGTGTGTGTGTGTGTGTG